AATGAAACAGCAAAGGAAAAAAGCATGAACTGTCTATTCTTCTTCCTTTGTAACAAGGGGTCAGTTCGCAATAAGCAAGCGTTTTCGAAATGTCGTACGTGTGTGATAAAAATTCAAGGAGCACGAAGGATTATTTTTATAAAAGATGGTCCCCCAGCCACTGAGCGCTCCCCTCCCCTAACCCGAGAACCAATTTTTCGTCGTGGGAGCAGCTTTTAGTTCCATATGAACATGTATGCACTTCGGGTATGGTTTTCGGTAACATTAGTTATGGTTTTTCTTTTAAAATTTTTTTATCCTCACCTGAGGACATTCTTGCATTCATTCAGATAGAGAGGGAGGGAGACAGGGAGGAAGAGAGAGAGAGAAACGACACGAGAGAGACACAGTGAGTGGCCGCTACCCACACAACCCAACTGGGGCTGGGGACAAACTGCAACCGAAGTACATGCCCTTAGCGGGGACTGAACCCGGGTCTCTCCAGTCCACGGGCCGACGCTCTAACCGCTGAGCCAAACCGGCCAGGGCTTAGTCATGGTTCCTTGTGCAGGGGAACCTCCGTTCTCATCTTAATTTGTTCTGGAAGGCTGTTCGAGAAGCCCTGGTTTGAAAACGGAATCACTTGTTCCGGTTAGAAATCGTGTCCATGGAACTGATCCATTCTGAGCGCCACACGATTCCGTTTGGACCTTTCTCATCGCCTGTGGTCACAGCACCTTCAGCACAGCAGACGGCCTCTCGATATCTAAACTGTGCCAATCGCCGTACTGGGCAGCGGGTCGGACACGGGACCCTCCAGCGTCCTTTGCAATTATTCGTTCTCGGCTCTACCGTGGTCCTTCCGACTTCCCTGTTCATGGTGCTGCCATCACTAAGGTTCTCAGGACCCCCGGCGACGTACTGTGCGCATTTAATAACAACAAGTAGCAACGAAAGCAAACAAACTACGGAAACAGTCACAGCGCCGTTTTCTGAGAGGTAACACGAGGCTTAGGGGTGCAGTGACTTCATCCTCGCTCATCCCCCACTTTGTCACCTGAGACGCGTGACTGGTCCCACAGGGGTCAGCCTGGAAGGGTGGTCGGCTCAAGGACCTAAGTTTTGCTCCACAACCGGGGCATTTTTCTGTGACCCACTTGATCGAGAACTGAGTCGCTCGAGATGGGAACGTTCAAGAACCGGGGCTTGAGGTCCTCACCGGGTCGCAGTATCTTTACCTCGTCCACACGACTCTGGCCAACGATGCCCTTGTGGGCGCCTCCATGGGAGGTCGCTCTGGCGGGTGTCTCCCTCTCCTGGTAGTTTGGATGAACCTCGCCTGCAGCTCACATCTTTTCTCTCCCTCTCCTTTCCCATCACTTGTTCGCAAGTTTCTGCACGGCCTGGAGCTGCTGGCTGACGAGCTGAAGCAAAGTCACTCCGGGTTTCTCCCTGAAGCGAGCCCTTCCCCAGGGACATCTGTCATTAACTCCCAGCCGCTGGTTCATTCGAACCCTCCACGCCTCGCTCGTGCGGTGACAGCCCGGCAGTGGCTGTACAGCTGAGGACTGACTGCGGTTTAACTCGTGGACAGACACGCTGTTAGCGACGAACATCAAAACGCAGGCAGCCACCAGGCACCGCCGTCAGCCGTGTGTCCCAGCCAAGCGTCTCGTGCTGTCCGCTTCCCGCCCTGCTCTCCGCGTCGGGACACCCCAGCCCTGCTGGCCTCGCCTCCTTCCTGCTCAGCCGGCCTCACCTTCTGGCAGCGAAAGTCCTGTCTCACAAGCGTCCCTTTTCCTCTTACTGAACCCGAGCTAAGCTTCCCCCCTCTCCTGCTGCGGTGGCTGGCGGAGCCCCGTGGGGCAGTCACGTGACTGGGGACTGCCATTGCCGGTCGCTGGTCTGCAGGGGGCCAGTCTAGTGCCCCGCACAGTCCTTCTACCCACCGTGCGATTCTGGACGTAGGTTCGGCTGACAGTGACAGACACGTCATATTAACTATGGCAGACACAGGCTATTCTCTCTCTTACTTAGTAGTCCAAAAACAGGGGTACCAGGTTAGGACGGTGGCCCTGCTCCCCAAGGCCATCCAAGGACACGGGATCTTTCTACCTTGTTCCGTCCTCCCCAGTGAATTGCCCTCGCTGGCCACTGACCAATGACCTGCTTTGTCCATATTCCAAGCGCAGGAGGGAGGAAGAGGGAATGGGCTCTCTTCTCCCACTGGCCGTACTCACTCTCATGGCCACACCCCTTGCAATGGCCAATGACAGTCTTAAAAAATGTTTTTAACTGAAATATAAAATATATACTTAAAAGAGCAAAAACCCATAAATATATAGCTTGCTGAGCTTTCATTAACAGACCACACACGACTAACCAGCATCCAGGACAAAAAACGATTCCAGTATCACAAGAACCAGAGACCCCTCCCTCTACACCCTTCCAAGGGTGACACTCCCGTGTTCTAACAACTCCTGTTTCTGTACTGTGTATAAACACAACCACACTGAGACCGTTTGTCTCCAGATTCTCTGGCATGATCTTCTGTGAGCATCAGCGGAATCGTCGTGTGACTGTTTCCGACCCAAAATTCTACTACTATGCAAGAAGGGAAGAGACCTGAGGGGCTCTTAGCACGCTACCACCTCGGGCCATCTCATCTATTTCCAGGTATCTTCCGAATTGTTCCCTTTTCCGAAAGCCTCTATCGTCAACGCCCTCACTCCCATTAGCAGGTCACTGCTGGGAAACGAAGGAGTGCACCCCTCTTCTTGTTACCGAGCGCACTGCAGCTGGGCCCGCTCACCTGCTGCCCGCCGGCCCCGGTAGAACCGGCACCGCAGTATCTCTGCCACGGGCCGCCAGAGCCGCCGCAGGCCTGCCCAGCCTCGGGGGCGGAACATAAACCCGTTCTTGATGGGCTGCACTGCACGGGCGTGTGTGGGGTAGGTTTCGTGTGGCATCTCTGCAGAATGCAGTCTAACACACCAAGCCTGGACGTGGTTACAGAGCTACTTAAAACCAGTACTGTATCGGACAGGGAACGGTGGGAACAATGCATTCTTGTTTCAAAGCCAGGACATTGTATCAGTTCCTACTGTCTCGAGAATGCTGCGTGACGAACCACACCAGAACCCTTGGTGCTCCGAGTCCACGGGTCAGCTGGGTGGTCCTGCCGATCTGGGCCAGGCCTGGCTGACCGCGGCGGGCACCTGGCGTCTGTGCAGTCGGCAGGCAGGCTGCTGGGGGCAGCGTCGAGCATGGCTGCGGGTGCCCCCGAGATGACTGGGCCCGGCTCCTTACCCAGCGGTGGGCTGAGCTGGCTTGTCACCACGGCAGGGGCAGGCTTCTAAGAGAACACGCGGAAGTGTCCAGACCTTCGGGAGGGTCTACCAGAGCTGCACACCAGTATTCCCTCTGCATTCTGTCCCCAGATCTAAGAAGTAAATAAACTCAGCCGCTTGGTGGGAGGAGCAGCGAGACCACACTGAAAATTCATGACTACAGGGGGGTAAAACTGGTACACGGGACAACAGATATACCCCAAATAAATAGAAACCTAATTATTTCATTGATACATAAAAATTCAATTTTTTTTAAAAGATGAAATATATGTAATTTTTTAAAATTTATTTTTTATTGTGGACAGTATTACAGATGTCCCCCCCTTCCCCCCTCTTGCCCCCCGCCCCCCAGGCCTCCCTGCACTGCTGTCTGTGTCCATGGGCTATTCATGCATCATGTAAGTGCTTTGGTTAATCTCTGCCCCCCCGCAGGTCTGTCAGTGTGCCCCATGCATCCGTGCTCTGGCCTGTCTTGTCTGCCAGTTTGCTTTGTCCCCGAGAGTCCACATACGAGGAGATCGTGTGATGGGACGTGAACCCACTTTCTCTTCAGCTTTCAATGCCCAGCTCCCTCCCTTCCTGCCCCTCCTGTTCCACTTAAAAAGAACACAGTTGATTTTCTTTTGCCATAAAAGTTAACTTACCCCATAGTGATTCAATAAAGCTCCCAACATCATGAACTAGAGAACAAATAACAGTTGGTAACAAATGCAAATGACTCCTCTGCACCCAGTGTGAAGCAACTATGCAGCAGAGTAAGTGAATCAGACAACTTGAAGGTCAACAATTGGACTTTAATGAATAATTTTGGTAAAAGCATTTTTGCAGATATGCAGGTCTAAAACTTATAAAAATGAACAAAAAGATTCTCTCCTTAAGTACTTCTTGGTACAGCTATGACTAAGTTTAACTTGATAAATATTTCAGAGCTTAAAAATTAAGAAACTAACAAATTTTTACAGTTAAACTTGAAACATATACATTGTCTTAACACTGGAAATACTTTGATTTGTTACTCTTATTGATAGGCTTGACTTTTAAAAGTTTTCCTAGGAAAAAATATAAGAAAAGAGTATCTATCTATATTATCCACCATCATTCTTTAAGTATTACTTATGAATAACAGTCTTTTTTATAATCCTCACCAGAGGATATTTTCCCACTGATTTTCAGATAGACTGGGGTGGGGGTGGGGAGAAACACTGATGTGAGAGACACATTGATTGCTTGCCTCCCACATGACCCTGACCAGGTCCAGAGATCAAACTGCAACCAAAGTATGTGCCCTTGACCAGAATCGAACCCGCAACTCTTTGGTCCTCGGACCGATACTCTAACCACTGAACCAAACCAGCCAGGAATAACACACAGTCTTAACATAGCTCAGTTTTGAAAAACATTGACAAAATGCTGGAATGTTATTCTTATTTTCAGGTCTCTTTTTGAAAAAGAAATGAGTATTAAAAAAATAATTTTGTCCTGGTACGGGTGGAATGTGAGATACATCTATACTGTTCATAAATTCAATTCAACACACAACAGTCTGCTTTACAAGAGATCAGCACGCCCCGCTGTGTGGCTCAGTGGTTGAGCATCGATCCATGGACCACGAGGTCGCGGGTTCCATTCCCACTTGGGGCACATGCCCAGGGTGCAGGCTCCCTTCCCCACTGGGCAGCCGATCGATGTGTCTCTCTCATCGATGTTTCTATCTCTCCCCCCTTCCTCTCTCTCTAAAAACCAATGAAAACATATTTTAAAAAAGAGATCAACGCTAACAGAGACCATGAAAAAGAGAAGCCAGTGCTAGGAGAAGCATTCACTCACGTGCTCACGTTGATCCCTCTCAGGTTTTACAGGTCTGGAAACGGAGGCAGACCCTAACGTCAGACAGTTAACATTTAACTTTTCCTATAGACAGGAAGTTACCTGCTCGACAGCCCCACCTTTAACTGCAAAAGCAGGTTATTCTGAGAACTCAAGTCCGAGTGCCCAGCTACAGTTCCGCAGCACAAGCAGCTACCGGTGTTTAAGAGAAACACGCGGCATCGCGAACGAGGCCCCTCCCGGTTGTGCGGGACCATCCCAGGTCCTGCGCACTTAGCATTTCAGCCCGTTCACTAAGAGCCAGCAGTTTGCACCATCACTGTGTCAGCCAAAACCACACCCGAAACGTTTCCAACTGCCCCCGATGAGAACCACTGAGCTACATGGTCCAAGGTCAATGCCAATTAACTTCTAACTTCCACAGAAAGTAACTGCTTCAACATCTTCAGTAACGACTGAAAGAACATTTTCTTAAAAATACACTGTAATTACATGTGATTTTGCAAAGATAAGCTGATTTCTCCAGACTGATGATGGTCTGAAAGGGTCAGACGCACGAAGTGCAATCTTTATTTGTCCCCAGATGCACACACACTCACAGGAAAATGACTGTGTTCTGCTGGCATTTCTTACCCGTGTGTCTCACTGTAAAAACACCTGTGTCCACTACAGCAAGACAGAAAAACACGCAGAGCATCTTAATAGATCCCTTCATGCTGACGTTCCTGGAAACTGCTGCTGTCTTTGCTCCAAAACTTGCTGATTTAATAGTTGTTGCTGTTTCTGTAAAAACTGCACCACTTCTGGGCTTCTTAGTAATGACTTAAGAAGAAAAAAGAAGAAACATATTTATTAACAGCATTATTCTTATGGGATTAGATTGTATTCATTCTATGATGTTACTCTGATATGTCCCTACACAAGATACAAGATGCTTAGAAAACAAAAGTTGCTTAAATTAACGTTTGCATCTGATACGCTGAATCGAAGCGGTAAAGCCACAATACATTTGCTGTCACACATCAGCACTAAAACCTAAAAGCAGTGGGTGGACCGGACCTTACTGGCGACTCTGCAGAGGAGAGCCTTTATATGGGTGCCAGCATGCACACTCTACAGACGTAGAGTGGACATCCGAACGCGCTGACCAAGGATTAGAGCAAGAGAAAAGGAAATGAAAGAGGCCACATGGGGAAGTGGCCGCTAAATGCCCCTGTGGAAATACATTTAAGACTGAAACTCAAATTTCTCCCATAAGCCTAAGTCTTTCTGAAGAAATAAAAAACTGTATGTGTGTTTATGCGTAGGTGTGTGTGTACTGATAGGTACATTACCAAAATTTCTAAAAAGACTACAACTGCTAAGATAACCAGTACTTTCTGTACATGTTTCATCTGAAAATACAGCTGCAATCATATAACAAGTATAATAGACTATGATTAATACATTTTTGTTATAGGAAGATACATATAAAATTGATAAAAAAAATAAAACTCTGGCTCCAATAAATTGAAAAAGATATACCAAAAAGTAGAAATACTATCATTAAATACTAATTTTAAAATTTAACATTATAGTATAGTACATTTTCTATTTGTTATTTTTCTTTAAAACTTAGTTGTAAAAAGTACCCAACATTTTATGAAATCGATGCACAAGCCTTCTTAACTGTCATAAAACTGCTGCACACTCAGGCTGTCGATACTTCTATTTACTACTCCTGGTAAATACCCTCTGGCAGTGTCTTCATGATTAACTTTATGACATTTGGGACCTATTTCCTGTGAATGTCTTCACAGTGAATGTGACCCGAGTTGAAGGGACGCCATTCTGGAGGCTCTGACACATGGTGCCCAGGCCCCCGGGTGTGCGCCCAGACGCTGCCGGGGCAGACGGAGAGCGCCCCCTGCAGGCGCCCCACCACCCGCGCCGCCTTCAGGTCACTTCGGCGCTAGCTGTGTGCACTGTGCTGTCAGCACGGGCCCTCGCACCCCTGCCCACGCCGTTTAATGGCAGTGTTTCTGCTTTCTTCTTGTTACATCTTTTGCAATGTCTTGAGGCCAATTTTCTTCCTCAGCAATTTATATTTTACTTAACAAAAACATTAACTGTAGTTCTTTTATAGTTGCTGCAATTATTTTTCCTATGTGGTTTCATTTTCATTTCTACCACCTTTTTAACATTTTTATGTAGACAAATTTATAATCTTTTCTTTGAAATGTTGTCTCTTTTAAACTAGAAAATTCCCATTCCAGACGTATTTTTAAACGTTTTTACTGATTTTCAGAGAGGAGGGGCGAGGGGAGACACGGCTGGAGGGATGTCGCTGCAGAGCCCTGCACGGCTGCACTGAAGATCGGGCCGCGCAGCATCGGGCCGCGCAGCATCGGCCGGCGACCTTCGGTGCCCTGGATGGAGCCCAGCTCACTCAGCCGCACGGGCCGGGCTCCCATTCCAGATAGTTTAGATAAAGCTCTACTTCCATTTTTTTTTTTTTTTCATTTAAAAAATCTTTATCAGGAATTTATTTCGATGCATAGTGTGATGTGACAAACTAAATTATTTTTGTCTTTAAATTATTATCCAATTATTGTAGTATTTATTGAATAATCTCTAACTCAGTTCTGATACCGTCTATCGAATTTATAATAGAGATCCTTATTAAATATTGGTCTAATTATACTTCAATACCACTAAAGCATTAGTCTACAAACCCCAGAATTCACCACCAGGAGTCTATTTTAAACTCTCATCTTGCTCGCCTGACAGGTGTGGCTCAGTGGCTGAGCGTCGACCCTGCACCGAGAGGTCACTGGTTTGATTCCAGGTCAGGACACATGCCTGGGTTGTGGGCCGGATCCCCAGTGGGGGTCGTGCAGGAGGCGGCCAATGTTCTCTCTCCCTCTCCCTTCCTCTCTCTCTAAAATCAATAAAGAAAAAAAATGTTTTAAATCTCATCTTGCTCAGATCTTCAGGCTCGGCAATGAAGATACAGGATTGGAAGTCCTCCTCTTCAAGCCCAGCCACTGGTTGAGCGTCCACCGATGCAGCAAGAGGTCGCTGGTTCGATTCTCGGTCAGGGCACATACCTAGGTTTGTGGGCCCCATCCCCAGTGGGGGGCATGCAGGGGCAATCTATGTTCTATCTCATCGTTATTTCTATTTCTCCCTTCCTTTCTCTCTAAAATCAATAAAGAAAAACAATAAAAAAAACAAAACAACAACAACCTGGCCGGTTTGGCTCAGGGGTTGGAGCTTGGCCTGCGGACCAAAGAGTCCTGGGTTCGGTTCCCGCTAAGGGCATGTACCTTGGTTGCAGTTTGTCCCCGGCCCCGGTGGGGTCGTGTGGTTGGCAACCAGTGCATGTGTCTCTCTCACACGGATGTTTCTCTCTCCCTCTTCCCCCCTCTCCCTCCCGCTCTGTCTGAGGATGGGGTGAGGCGAAAGGAAGTCCTCCTCCTCAGCCTGCAGAGGCTCAGTGGCCAAGCGCTGCCAGCAGGGGGCGTGCAGGAGGCAGCAAGTTTCTCTCTCATCTGTGTTGCCCCACCCCTGTAAAAAAAAAAAAATCAATAAAAACATTAAAAAGAACACCGCCCTGCTCAGTGTTGGGGCGCACTGTGGAAGCCAGTGTGCACAGCGGAGGCAGCCGTCGACCTGGTGCCCAGGTGCCCAGTCTCCAGAACTCAGAGCCCGTCTCCCCAGGAGCTGCTGTGACACCGCAGCGCCTTGCCCGGCACTCACCAGTCTCTTCTGATTCAGCACTTGTTCCAAGAGTGTGGGCCTTGCCGGACGGTCCCCGAAAGCTCCGGTTCTTTGTTTGACGATGGAGAGGATGTTATCTGCGCTTTCCTGGGGTGAGTGATGAATGCAGACAGGGTTAGCATGTGACAGCGTCGGCCAGGGCCACAGGCACTTCAGTGATGCCGTGAACAGGCCGGGCCAGTCCCTGGGCAAGTCCCAGGAAGGGGCTGACGTCCCCTGAAGTACCCTCCTCGCTCCCTCCCTCCCCCTCTCCATCTCCCACCTGGGGCCTTCGGTCTCTTGAAGGGTCTTACAATCAGCAGTGGGCAGAGGTGGTGGCGGTGGGAGGGGCAGAGTTCCTCGTGAGCTATTTCCCACGTTGTGAAAAACGCCGAGTAGAAAATGAGCGTTCTCTGTATAGAGCTCTATCCAGGCCAAAGCGAAGTCGCCTGCCTTTGGCGGATATATGAACGTATCACAAGTTCTAATTGATCATTTTTTGTCCAATTGACAACAAAAAAGAAGGGGGATGCAGTGAAATACTGATTAAGAGACAACAAAGCTTCCGAAACATGAAAGTTATATGGAGAAAAATGACAAACTGGTTTTGAAAAGCCTGGAGAACACCTGGTATAAATGTGACCACGTGCCCTCAGACATCACGACACAGACAAAATCCGTGCACTTCCACCAAATACGCACCCTCAGTTATCTGAAGGAATCTTAAACACCTGACTCAACAAAATACGGTGTTATTGTTCTCGCTGGCGGAAACATTCTCTTACAAACACGACACAGCACTGACCACACCCAAACACTCTGACTAGACAGACAAACTGAAACGCTTTGCTATGAAGCCTAATGTGAGTTCAGTAGAATATCCCCTTTAATTATGAAAGGTTTATCAACCTGTTTTAAAAATGTTCCGTCCTTAAATATGTTAGGCTTCAAAATGTAAAAATAACGAACTGTAAAAAGAGGACTCCAACACCGGAGAACGCAAAAATAATTTCTGCCTTCCTCTCTCCTCATAGGGTTAACTTTATTTATGGGGCTGATTTTTAAAAATTATATTGGATAACATTGGTTAATAATACTATATAAATTTCAGGTGTACAACCTTACAGTACATCTGTATATTCGATCGTGTGCTCACCATCTGAAGTCTCGTCTCCTGTCACCATAAGTTTAACCCCTTTGTCCCCTCCCCCACCCCAACCCCCCTATGCCTCTAGTGAACACCATTCTGTGGGACTGTTTCACTTTTATGTGTACAAGAAATGGATGCTGACATTGACCTGATCGCAGAGTACCCTGTAGTCTCGACAACCCGACAAAGCACTATGTAGAGTCACAGTGTTAATATGAAAAAATAAAAATAAGTCACAGACACTTGTAGTGAAGCGACTTGAGTGATCCGGTCCCGCTCCTGTGAATACGGAATTCCCCTTTCGGAGATCTGAACGCTCTGTCCTAAGGAGCGTGACCACGTTCTGAGGCATCGCAAATGCGGGACAGCTCTAATGCTCAGGTGCTTTTACTCAGCTGAAATAATGTAGCTTTGGTGATTTTCACCCAAGTCCAAGTTACTTCAGAACTTTACAAAATAAACTGACTGCCTCTTTGAAATGACGGCCTTTTAGATATTAAATGATGATTACAATCCCACAGGTTAATTCCTTTATCCCTGCTCATGTGTCTCTCACATAGCAAACTTGTCAGATACATGAACTAATTACATATGTGTCTGTCCTTATCTAACCTTGCTGTGGGTAAGAAACACCGACTCAAACTCCAGCAGAGCCCACGTCATCATCCATGAGTCCCCATCACAGTCATCTGAAGAGCCTACCTATCTGCAGGCTTTCGCTTTAATCCACCCCGATAAAGTAGGAGCCCAGGAACCCCCTAAATGGAAACCTTCCTTTAAAGACTTCAAATCCAAACCCCGCAGCCTGGAGTTGAATCCATACAAAAACTGGCTTCAAACCCCCTTTCCACACTCATCTTCCATGAATTGTTCACAAAGAAGAACCGACCCCAGCCAGGACGTTGGCACAGGCTGCAGCGCACGGACAGCGCTCCCTGCCTCCAAGCCTCGGGCCAGCCGCAGCGGCCGGGCTCACCTGGCTCACCTGGCTCACCTGGGCACAGGTGCGCAAGCGCAGGAAACGCCCTCCGCACAACACGGGGCCGCCTCGTCCCCTCGCACCCCCAGGCCCCCGGCTCGGGGCTGGTACCTCCAGCTTGACGTTTCCCGCGCCGCCGGCCGGGGAGGCGCCGCCGCAGTTGAGGGCCTGGTCGCTCTTCTTCTTCTTGTACTTGTCCTTGTACATCTTGTTGCGGTGCTTCTTGCACATCCACGGCTTGCGCTGCTTGGCCACCTGGCTCGTGGTCTCGCTGCAGCCCTCGTAGGTGCAGGTCTTGCTCAGGCCGCCCCCGCCGCTGCCCGGCCTCCGGGCCCCGCGGCCGCCGCCCTCGCCCCCCGAGTGCGCCTCCTCGTCCTCCAGGTCCTCCAGGCTGGCCGCGCTCTCGCCGCCCCCCGGCGGGTCCGAGGAGTCCAGCAGGGTGGCTTCGTCCTCCGCCGCCTCGTCCTCCCCGTCGCCCGCCGCCTCGCACGCATAGCGGCCCGGCTCGGGCGCAGCCTCCTCCGGCCGCCCGCACGGCCGCATCACCAGCAGCGCGAACTGCGAGGCCGCGCCCGGGGCAGGGGCGGGCGCCCCGGGGCGCAGCGCAGCGCAGGCGGCGCCCGACCCCGCGCCCCCCGCGCCCCCCTGCCCCTCCGTGATGCCGAGACGCAGCGGCCGGCGCGACCCAGCCCCTCCGGCGCACCTGCTGCGGACGCGCGACAGGAAGGGGCCGGCTCCGCCAGGCCGCGAAGTGCGCCTGCGCATCCCGCAGCGTAGGTACGCGGGTGCTGATTGGACCCGCGCGGCTCTGGGGGCGGGGCTGAGCGGCCCGGGCGCAGACTGCGCACGTGCGGCTCGGCGGCGGCGGCGGCGGGCGGAAGTCCCCGGCTCTGGGCGCGGGCGCGCTTTTTCCCTGTGGCACCGACACCGTCCGAAACGTTCAGCGCACCTGTGTCCTGAAACCGCGCCACGTGAGTTCGGGGGGCTCCTGAGCGATGCCGCGGCCGTGACCCCGGGGCGCTGGGCTGGAGTGACTGCGCCGCAGACGCCCGAACCCGAGATGCGCAGCGGGCGCGGGCCTGGCGCCCCCTGTTCCCATCCGCTCGACCCAGGGGGGCGGCCAGGTGACGGCGGCGGAGGCGGGACCCCTGTTTGCCACGGGGCGGTGGACAGGGAGGCGGGACCGGGCCCCGTGTGCCGTGTCCAGACCGACACGGTTTACTCGGATTCGTTTGTTTTTCTCTCTCGGAAACGCACGTTCACTGGTCGGCACGTCCCCGCTTAGCCCTCGATAACCTTTCCTGCTCGCGCTGAACGGTCCGAAGGGAAGCTCCGAACGAAAAGGTTAAAAAACCGAGCCGGCTGTATTTCTGCCAGTTGCGATGGTTGCTGAAGGCCGACGGTGGGAGCAGGTGCGTGCAGGCGGGAGCAGGCGGGAGCAGGCGGGAGCAGGCGGGAGCAGGCGGGTGCAGGCGGGAGCAGGCGGGAGCAGGCGCGAGCAGGCGGGAGCAGGCGGGAGCAGGCGGGAGCAGGTGCGAGCAGGCGGGAGCAGGCGGGAGCAGGCGGGTGCAGGCGCGAGCAGGCGGGTGCAGGCGGGGGCAGGCGGGGGCAGGCGGGGGCAGGCGGGAGCAGGCGGGAGCAGGCGGGTGCAGGCGGGTGCAGGCGGGGGCAGGCGGGGGCAGGCGGGAGCAGGCGGGTGCAGGCGGGAGCAGGCGGGGGCAGGCGGGTGCAGGCGGGGGCAGGCGGGTGCAGGCGGGGGCAGGCGGGGGCAGGCGGGTGCAGGCGGGAGCAGGCGGGTGCAGGCGGGAGCAGGCGGGGGCAGGCGGGAGCAGGCGGGAGCAGGCGGGTGCAGGCGGGTGCAGGCGGGAGCAGGCGGGAGCAGGTGCGTGCAGGCGGGAGCAGGCGGGTGCAGGCGGGAGCAGGCGGGAGCAGGCGGGTGCAGGCGGGGGCAGGCGGGAGCAGGCGGGTGCAGGCGGGAGCAGGCGGGGGCAGGCGGGTGCAGGCGCGAGCAGGCGGGTGCAGGCGGGTGCAGGCGGGAGCAGGCGGGAGCAGGCGGGAGCAGGCGGGAGCAGGCGGGTGCAGGCGGGAGCAGGCGGGGGCAGGCGGGGCAGGCGGGGCAGGCGGGAGCAGGCGGGAGCAGGCGGGGGCAGGCAGGGGGCAGGAGGGGGCAGGCGGGGGCAGGCGGGGGCAGGCGCGAGGCAGGCGGCGGGCAGGCGGGGGCAGGCGGGGGCAGGCGGGTGCAGGCGGGAGCAGGCGGGGGCAGGCGGGGGCAGGCGGGGGCAGGCGGGGGCAGGCGGGGGCAGGCGGGGGCAGGCGGGGGCAGGCGGGGGCAGGCGGGGGCAGGCGGGGGCAGGCGGGGGCAGGCGGGGGCAGGCGGGGGCAGGCGGGGGCAGGCGGGGGCAGGCGGGGGCAGGCGGGGGCAGGCGGGGGCAGGCGGGGGCAGGCGGGGGCAGGCGGGAGCAGGCGGGTGCAGGCGGGAGCAGGCGGGAGCAGGCTCTTTCTTCTCCGCGCCCGGCAGGCCTCCCTTGCCCACTGGGAAAGAAAAGCAGGGGCTCTCCCACCGGTGACACAGCCGTGCATTCCTGCGGGTGGGCCGCCCCCTGCAGGTCCAAGAGAGGCGCTGGAGGCACAGGTTCTGCAGTGAGACCCGGTGGCCTGTCCGGTGTGGCCAGGGCGAGTTAGTGACCGCCTCTCCGAGACTGGTTTCTCATTTGTAAATGCGCAGCCTGTGGTGTGCTAGAGCCAGGTGGGGAGAGCCAGTTAAAATTTCAGGAGTTTAGCCCTGGCCGGTTTGGCTCAGCGGTTAGAGCATCGGCCTGCGGTTCGGAGAGACCCGGGTTCGGTTCCTGCTAAGGGCATGTACCTTGGTTGCAGTTTGTCCCCGCCCCTGGTTGGGTCATGTGGGTGGCAGCCACTCGATGTGTCCCTTTCACATCGATGTTTCTCTCTCTTCCTCCCTCCCACTCTATCTGAACAAAAAAATGGGAAAAAATGTCCTCAGGTGAAGATTAAAAAAAAAATTATATAAATAAATAAAATTTCAGGAGTTTAATGAGCTGGAAGTTAAACACTGACATTATTTAATAGATTAAAAATTTTTTTTTCCTTTATTGATTTTAGAGAGAGAGGAACATTGATAAGTGAGAACATCGATTGGTCACCTCCTGCAAGCCCCCCACTGGGGATTGGGCCCACAACCTGGGCATGTGCCCCGACCGGGAATAGAACGATGTTCAGTCCACTGAGCCACACCTGCTGGGCTCTCCAGCTGCTTTTCAAACCTTCTCTGTGCCTTTAGAGTTCTGCAGTTGCCCTATGAAATGTCTAGGTGTAGCCCTGGCAGGTTTGGCTCAGCTGTTAGAGCATTGGCCCAAGGATGAAGAGTCTTGGGTTCGATTCCCCGTCAGGGGGCACGTACTTGGATTGCAGGTTTGATCCTGGCCCGGTCCGAGTCATGCTGGAGTCAACCCATCGATATGTCTCTCTCACATCAATGTTTCTTTCTGTTCCTCCCTCCCTCCCACTCTATCTAAAAATCAATGGAAAATATCCTCGGGTGAGGATTAACAAAAAAATAAAATAAAATAAATGAAATGTCTTGGTGTACACATCTTTGATTTTTCTTGCCTGAGAATCATTGCACTTCCTGAACCTAAGGATTTATATCCTTTATAAGCTTTGAAAAAGTCTAAGTCATAATTTTTTAAATGCATGCATACCACATATGTCAGCTCAGTTAATCATTTTTGCCTTAGTAACTCTTAGAAACTTATACCACCTTTCCGACCGTTTATTCACCTTTTACCCCCAGCGTTTTACCCAGAAACTCACTTTTCATTAATTATAAAAGCTTATATTTAAATGTTTTATTTTAGGCAAAAACACACTAATCAAACACACTAATTAAAAGCACAACTATTTCTAGTCTAGAATACACACAAACAAATTTGAGTTGCACACTTCAGATAAATCCAAATCTGTTTTCCGTAAGAGAATTGCACTAATAGGGTTTTTCTGTGACTCCAGTTTGCGTTACATTGGGCAGTTTTCATGTTTTCCGTCACTACTAGGTTTATGGACAATGTTGCACTACAGGTATTCTGTGCTGTACTCAGTACAAGAAGATAATGTAGAAAGAATAATGCACCATTCAAAGTATGACTTCCTTGAACCCCTCCACCATCAACTACCACCTTCTCAAAAGTCCTCTCCCATTAGCAAATACAATAAAACTTTCATTAAAGTTTATGTACAAAGTAGTTCAAATTGCACTTTATCATGTATATAAACGTGTCTTTGCTGGTCAACTGATATAAGTTACTATGGGAAAGCTGCTTGGATATCTTTATTTGGAGTGGAATGCATTGTAACATTTCCCATCAATGGTAATGAAATATTTTTATTTAAGTACTTTGCATTTAACATCAGCATTTTCAGTAACATGTTGACTTCACTAAGTGAGGAATAAGAGAAGTTGACTTCTCTATTTTCTAATTTCTTCTAGATGTGAAATTCTCTACTCCATATGTAAATTGATTTTTCTTACTATCCACCTCTTTGTGCTGGTCTAGATAATTTATTGAATTTTGTCTTCTAGTTCAGTAATTCTCTTTTCAGTTATATGTATTTAGTTATCCTAGCCTATTCATTAAGATTTTGAAATTTTATAATTGTTTTTTTAAAATTTCTAGACATTCTATATAATTCTTCGAATTTCTTCTTGATATTTTTGAGTAATGTCTTATTCATTTTTCACATTTTCAGTTTTATCTTTCATTTTCTTAAGCATCTATTCTAAAACCCATCATTTCTTTAGCTAAAGTTTTTGGGAGGTCTGTTCCATTGTTTGTGGGTATTTCTGATTACCACTCAGGAATTGGAGTTTTCTGTATCTTTGGATTCTGGATTTATGTTTGAAGGGCCAGGCTTTACCTCATGAAATCTTGGTTGTGTCTTTTAAGAAGACTCAGACTTTGTTAAGGTGCTCTGAGGGCTGCCCGTCAGGGACCACTCTAAGCTCTTCCCTTGGGGTTTGCAGATCACACAGGCAGTAGATACTTGAATCCTAAGCCCATGAGGCTAGGTTTAAGAGTATGACTTCACACAAAATATATTTCCTCCACTTCAGAGCCCAGACTAACATACACAACTTCCCATGTCCTCCTCCGCTGACGGGCGGTCTCCCCACTTTCCTGAGGGTGCGACCCCTTTGATGTCCTGTGATGTCCATGGAACCGAGGTTCTGCCTCCCACTTCCACAGCGTGAGACTGAAACTTTGTCTTCTGCCCAGTAACCAAACTTTTGGTTATTAAGACTGGTGACACCCCAAGCCCTGGCTGGTTTGGCTCAGTGGTTGGAGCGTCAGCCTGCGGTCCAGAGAGACCCGGGTTCAGTTCCCGCTAAGGGCACGTACCTCGGTTGCAGTTTGTCCCCAATCCTGGTTGGTTGTGCGGGTGGCAGTAACTCGATGTGTCCCTTTCACATTGATCTCTCTCTTTTTCTCTCCCTCCCTCCCACTCTATCTGAACAACAACAACAAAAAAAATGGAAAAATGTCCTCGGGTGAGGATTGGAAAAAAAAAGACTGGTGACACCCCAAGGGAGATGTAATTTCTGCTTCATTTTGGAGGTCTGTGAAGGTTTCTTTTGCTTTCTTAGAAGATCAGTTAGGCATTTAAGAGAGTACTAGCTATGCCTGGCCGGTGTTGCTTAGTGGTTGAGCGTTGACCCATGCACCGAGAGGTCTCCAATTCAATTCCTGGTCAGGGCACATGCCCAAATTGTGGGCCCAATCCCTAATGGGGGGCATTCAGGAGGTGGCCAGTTGATGCTCTCTCTTATCGATGTTTCCAGCTCTCTCGCTGTTCCTTCCTCTCTCTCTAAAGTCAATAAAGAAAATAAATAAATAAATAAAGGAGTACTCGCTATGTTTTACATAGCTCACATAGAAGCTTTGTATTGAAATTTAAATAAAGGAAATCTAGTTTGCTATGTTCCTGAAAATAGAGGTGTCTGTTATATCTTTGATAATTCTTTCTGTTTGATCACTACTGACTCTTGTCAGTATCTACCAGTTGTAAGTTCATCTCTACTCTTTCTCACCTTGCTCATTTATAAAATCTTATCTCTTTCCATTTTTTTATTCACTTGAGGAAATGTTTATTGATTTTAGAGAAGAGAAATGAGGAAATGAGGGTGGTGGTGGGAGACAGAGAGAGAGAAAGAGTTGGGGAGAGAGACAGAAACATTGACTGGTTGCCTCCCATAAGCGTCCCAACTGGGGAGCAAACCTACAACTCTGCCCTGACCAGGAATTGAATCCACAAACTTTTGGTGTGCAGGATGACACTCCAACCATCCGAGCCTCCCAACCAGGGCTCTCTTATTGCTCTTACCTTGCTATTTCTGCATTCTGGGAGACCTCCTTGAGCTTGTTTCACACGTAACTTATTTAATTTTCTGCAGTGTAAAGTCAAACTATCCTGAAAGTGGATTTAACAAAAGACTTTGCTCCTATTTTATGATCTTTCCCCGTGGCTTCCTGCCCCATTCTCAGGCAAAGTGTGTCCTGTGTATACTGAGACCACCACGCAGACCTTGAGTCAAACTGACACCTTTTCCTCTATAACAGTGGTTCTCGACCTTCCTGATGTTGCAACCCTTTAATGCAGTTCCTCATGTTGTCTGTGGGCGTGTCTGCATGTGGGCGGACCCGCCTGGAGACGGACAGAGGAGTGGTGTCTCAGTTCCTAAGACCATTGGAAATACGTGTTTTCTGGTGGTCTTAGGCAACCCCTGTGAAAGGGTTGTTTGACCCCCAAAGGAGTCGCGACCCACAGGTTGAGAACCGCTGTTCTAGAGAGTCATTGTTGTGGGTGTGCTCGTCCACTGAATTTTCAGGACACTCGTCCCTCCCTCAGGCCTAGAATATCATTATAAGCTATCTGCTGGCCAAAAGACTAGGTGGGTTGTATTTAAGTCTTTTGTGAGGCTTTGGTTGCTGACATATTTCCTCTCTCAAATCTATACCAGATGGTCAGGTTAATGCGTATAAATCCTGGTGCCTGACAGGCATTTATTTATGTTGATGTAGGATTTGAAATGGGTTCTTTTTTTGTTCCATTTTCTGCTTTCTGGAATCATACTAAAGTGTCAGAGGTAAGACCTTACTAGAGTTTTCACTTGGTGAACATTTGCCTACAACGGTGATTTCCAAAGTGTGATCCCTGTACCAGCAGTAGCTGTATCACCATGGAACTTGTTAGAATTCCAGATTCTCCGGAGAACTCGTGAACGCCTGGGAGCGGCATCCAGCAATCTGTTCTTTAACCAGCTGTTCAGGGAATTGTTACACGTGCTAAAGTGTGGCAACCACTGCCCTGCATCACGGTTTCTGATGCAGCAAACCTGGATGGAGCCCCGATGCCGTCTGCCAGCGTGTCCTGGCTGCGCTGCTTCACCGACAGCAGGGGAAAGAGGGAAGGTGTGGGGGCTCAGGTTAGGGACAGAGCTGGCTTCGAAGATATGCTGTAAAGGTTGCTGCATATTTTTTCTGGTCAGTTTCCTCTGTATGAGGAAAGCTGTTCTGAGGAAGGAGCTGCATCTATGGCTGAGGAAGCAGAGATGGAGTCTAGACAGAGTGGTTTGGACTCCATAGCCAACAGGACACAGGTGCCTCTGGATTTTGTATTTCTCTGAGCCATGAAGTCCACTTTGTTTCAGCTACTTTGGGTTCAGTTCCTGTCACTTAGATCGGTGGGGTCCTAACTAGTATATGCTTTGACTCCCTTCAAGGCAGTCTTGTCTTGTGAAGGCCCGCAGTGCAGACCGCCAGGAATCGGGAGTCTAGCTGGTAGGGGCTTTCTGTTTCTCTGCCAGCTTCCCAAGAATCTTCAGTTTTCCAAACCCCAATTATTTGGCAATATCTGTGCACAAGAAGAAGGTCATCTTCACTCTTTGGACAAACTCTCCATGTTAATATTTATATAATTTTAACTAGATCTTTTTAAAAATTACCCTTTGCAACAGGATGGATGGACCTGGAGAACATTATGCTAAGTGAAATAAGCCAGTCAGAGAAAGACAAGTGGCATGATTTCACTTATATGTGGAATTTAATGAACAAACTGAACTAACAAGCAAATAGACTCATGGATGGAGAACAGACAGATAGCTCTGGTTGGGGTGGGTGTGTTGGGGTTGAGCACAAAGGAAAAAAAGAACTCATGGACATGGACAACAGTGGTGATTATGGAAAGGCAGTGGAGGGTGCAGAGGGGATAAATGGTGATGGGAAATAAGTGACAAAATAAAAAATTACCCTTAAAAGTCAGTGGAAAACTGGAATTAAAATTATTATAAAACAGCCAACCTGATAGTGAACTGAAGACGAGATGAACAGAATTACAGGAGAATCTGCATCAAGACACGTTTCACATGCTCTCATTTGTATGTGGAATCTAATGAACAAAATAAACTGATGAACAAAATAGACCCACAGACATAGAAGCATAGAACAGACCA